AATAATTAAAAAAAAATCTGTAACTCAGTTGATAATTAATCATTTGGGAGCACCTAAAAAGCATCTAATTCTGATAGAAAGAAAAAATTTGAAAAATATTTTTTACCATAGGGGACTGCTAGCTTTTATAAACCTAGCAGTCCCTTAGTTTTTTTTTGATTTTCTCAAAAATTAAAGGAGCACCTAATTTTTAATTAGAGGCCCTAATTAGCACCTAAAAAGCACCTAATTATTATAGAGTTCCCGAAGTTTTTTTCCACCTTGGGACTGCTGGGTTTATAGACCTCATAGAAACATTCTTTGAATGTGAGAATATACATTTCAAGCATATTTTTAAAATCAAACAGGAATATTCTTTTCAGGATGTACTGAGGATCTCATAGCTATATTCTAGGAATATCCTAATGGATTTCCCAGGAAGTGCTTGGGTATTGCAAACAGTATTTCTACAATCTTTTCTCAGAACATTCTCAGGACATTCGCAATGGTTTTGGCGAACATTCTATGTTGATTCCTCTTAAAAAAAAGAACATTCGTATTACATTCTAAAGATGCAATTTTGTTATGTGGGTACTTGCATCGCAGTGAGTCTCGGTTTCAGCTCCTGTTTTGTAAATGTCTAAAATAGATCTCTCAACTAGTTTTTGTTTAAGTTCAGCGAAAGCATTTTCTTGTTCTTCACCCCAAACAACGCGTTAATGAGGCTATTCTGTGTTTTGCTATACCAACGAATCTCTTCATGAACTCACGGAAATAACTAGCCAAACCTAAGAAACGTCGTACGTCATGGACAGTTTTAGGTGTTGGAAACTCTGAAAAAGCATTAATTTTGTCTTGTCCTGGCTTAATGCCTCTCATTATGCTTTTGAGACTAACTCGAGGCCTTTCTAAGCCTTGTTGGACGATTTCTGATGATATAATCACGTCATCGAGATATGCTAATTCATATTTGAAACGTAGTGAACCTAAAATTGTATTCATGGCTGATTGGAAGACAGTAGGCGCATTAATTCGGCCAAATGGTACTCTCAGGAAGTCATAGTGTCCATCGGGTGTAACAGAAGCTGTTTTTGGGATAGACTTTTCCTTCATAGGGATCTGATGGTACCTAGATGCCAAATCCAGGACGGTCAAAAATGTATTACCTTGGGGATTATCTAGAAGGTCATCTATTTGAGGCAAATTTGAGTCTTCTTGTTCAGCAAACGATATTCGACGCACATTCTAACTTCGCCATTCTTTTTCTTGACCGATAAAATGGGACTAGCATAGGGAAAATTAGATTATCTGACAACGTCGTTATCCAGAAGGTCCTGGATTATACCTCTTATATTTTTGCGTTCCGAAAACGCTATTCGATAATTATTTATTTATTTATTTAGAGATACACTTTCCAAACACCCCTCTTGGAGTAATTTCAGGAAAAGGAAGATAAGGCCCGATACCTACGTAACTGGCTTTATCGACATTTTCTTAACAGTCGTCTTGCCAATTTCGGACGATGTTGTAGCAAAATAGTCTCGGTACTCAAAGATTGTTCATTAATATTGCAGTCAATATAATAACAAGTGTCAGAAGGATTATTTGTGTCTGAAATAGTAGAAACTTGTCTTGACTTACCCTTCTCTGATCGGTAAAATCGTCTCTCCTTATTTACCACACATCGCCTTGCGTCATGTCTCGATAAATTGCACTTCATAGTCATAGTCCTTACCATCGAACTGAAATATTCCAAACTTTTCCACAGCGGAATTACTTCCCCAGTTCGAGGCCATCTTATTAACTTTTATACCTGTGACGGAACTAGCTATTGCCCCTTTTTGGGCTTTAGTTAAACCGCACCAGGGGTACTAAAAGTTTTTACTTTGACTGACTGTAAAATTTACAGGGTCAGCGCAACTATGAGGCAAACTTAAAGGGGCGGCAAAAAGGCAACAAAAAAAAATCTTTTGAATTCTGCTTTTTTAATAATAATATTCAGGATTCCATTTCTCTTACAAACCCAAACACAAACTTTGCCCTTCTTATGAGCACATACTACTATACCCAATGACGCTATACCTGTTTTCTCTTAGTGCGACCGGGTGGCGAGCGGCCAAAAACTACTTATTTTATATTATGAATATTTTTGGTATAAAATTAACGTGGCGTGGAACCAAAATAGGATTTTTTCGTCTCCGCCGGCGCCTGCGGCGGGCATGTGTGTATACATTCAGGGGGTTGGGCGCCCCAGGGCGCAGGCGCCTTGGATTACGATTTTGGAATGTGTCAACCGTTCTTTTTAATCGGAGCGTCAAGCCCTGGGGTCGTCTAACCCCACCGCTAGCGCCTCAAGCTCCACAGCTCCAGTGCCCGAATTATTACTAGTGTCAGATAATTATATGTCCCTTAATTACCGTTCTTTTCAGAGCGTGCGCTGACGCCCCCAGGGCATCGAAGGGGTTTCAAAGCTCTGAAAAGAAAGCACCTAATATGTGTAAGAAAGTATATTCTCAGTTTCTATATACAAATGTACAAGTGTTAATTTCACGAGTGTGAAAACCAAATTTCTGATGCATTAGAAGACACTTCAAATTATAGTACATTTCAAGTGAATCACTAATCAGTATTTATTGTTCGACTGTTAGAGAAATTGTAACGGTCTTACTTGCTTAATCCGGTTCATGCAGACAAATCCACAAGGCGATTATTTATCCATTTATCACTATTCTCACTGGCAGCTAGGAAATTTTCCACTCAGATGAAAACTTGAAACCACAACGATATACAGGCGTGTTGGAGTTCGGCGAGAGTGAGAGAGAAAGCCAAAAACAATCGCGTAGGAGAGAATTTTGTTCGTCCGAGGTGACTTGCAACAATTAGGGGTTAATTACATGAATTGTAATCAATAATATAGACCATGTCAGGCCTTGAGACACTGAGAGTAGTATTTTACTATAAATCGCGCGGACTAACGGGGGTTTTTGGAGGTATTGCTCCTGGAAAGCATTCAGAGGGCGCGAGGGTGCGAACTCTTCGCTTATTCTAATAGTACTGAAGAATGTGCGTCAACTAGACTCTGCCAGGGAAGCAGGTCGCAAAAAAGGGCTTTGTGTGGCGGCTGACCAATCACAGCGGCGAGACAGGTTTACTATCTTATAGGTAATGAAGAAACCTGTAATTTTACCGGTTCAAAGGGTTGTTGTTGCTGGTTTTACAGGATAAATAGTCCAGCAATAGCATCTATTCTCAGAATATTATTTTTATGGTATATAATAGAAATTGAGATATATTAAATTAGAAATAATAAAAATTAAACCTGTTGTGGGTGATTTCCGCAACAATACCTGTGCCTATACTATGGCTATTTGATTGGGAATCTAACAGTTTACCTGAGTAGGTAATACTTTATATATCCTCACAGTACTTTCTCCAAAACCTCTTCTCAGCTCTTTCTTGAATTTGTTCAATGTAGTTCTATATGTATGTATCCCACTACTGGCTTTGTAGAATTCTATTCTAGCTTTTCTTCTTGAATTTGCAAGGTCTTAGTATAGACTGATAATCTAAGTTCAACTCTAACTCTACAGCAAATTATACCATTCACTGGGATAAATATTTTATCCTTTGCGACTCGAACGCAATTTTTGGCACACATCACTGCCTCGCGGAATATCCATTTCTGTTAAATTTACCTCATATAGTTTTCTAATCGTGCAGAAAAACGAATATTTCTTTAAAGTTGTAAATTTGGCCAATTCACATCCTGATTTATTTTTCTGCTCATTTACTCTTTCTTGTATCTCAGAGATACTCTTACTTCTGGTCTATCAAACACTGTGACGCCATCACTTTCTATTTTTTTGTATTTACAAATCTGGTTCCGATTGGTTACTACTAGACTGGAAAAGGAAATTAATTTTTCGAAATTGAGCTAAAAATAATTACAAAGCTATTTATTGGTTTTATTGGTCCACAATACCCAATAATAAATAGAATAATAACTTTCTATTTCTAGTTTTAACGAGGTGTTCCTGTTGGCATTCAATCATTAAAAACATTCGAAATATAGTTATTTTCTGTGTTTGTGGATTTAAATAATTTATGGTTAGTTGTGGCTGTGGATTTATCATTGAGCCAACAAGAATCTCTATATAGGTATGTGATTTTTTTTTTGTATACGTGTCAATAAGGTAAGACAGAGGGATATTTTATATTACAAAAATGAATGTTCCATGAATCCGATTTCCTGTTTTAGTAAATTTTTCCACAACATTGATCTAAAATTAGGGATTTTGTCATTTCCACCTAAAATCCAGGATTAGTCAAATACCTACCTACTTAGTCATTTTTTTTTCGCAGTTAGTAGGTATGTATGTTTATTTTGTGCAATTTCTATTTTGGAATTTGTGTGTATGAGGATAGGTAAATAACAAAAATATAATTTTTTTTGGAGAGGCTAAATCAGTGTTCTTAGTTTTCAACAACACTAAATGTCAAACAAATAATCGAAAAAGCATATGAATTCAATATCAAAACTTGTGTTTGATTGTGTATATGTAGAGTGGAAGAAACTGTGGCTGGTTTTGGAAAGAATGAGAGTAGGTACCAAAACATAATATATGGCGCGTCTTCTCATAAGTACTGTGGTATACCTGTCTGATATAGTATACCCCTCTCAACAATCAGTCTATTATCTCGTTCCAATTTTGCTCTGATGTATGGTACGATTGTCTCCTCTTCTATTTCCTTCTTGCTTGAGATATTCTTTATACTCCTCCAAAAACTAATCTGTTATTGCATGACCTACTGTGCCCATAACCTGTTAATGTATACTTTCTTCTGTCTGTAACTTAATAAAGAAACCTACTTTCTGGAGAAATTAAGAAACACATTAATTGTGAACTTAATTTTACTTGTTGAACACAACAGAAAACATTACAAAATAGAAAAATTAGAGTCAATAGAATTGCTATTAAGAAATAAAGGATTAATAATTCAACTATATTAACGTTTTACAGTTCAGACAATCCAAGGTATCCCGCAACAACAAATCCAAATGGACGGCGGCAGGCCTATAATGCCGGTGGTCTCAATGTCGACTCAAAGTGCTCAGCAACAGGTACAACAACAGCTTCAGCAGCAACTTTCCGGCGGGTTACAGCAAGGGTTACCGATGCAACCGAATTTGGCAGTTACCCAGCAACCTATGCAGATGAATATGCAACAATTGCATCCGGTAAGAAATAATTTTGGTCTTTTATAAATCATAATGCTTAGATGTTATGTTGGCAGCTCATCGTCTTCTCAGAGAGATTGCCATATCTGAGGTATCAAATCAAGTCCTTTTAATGGACACTTATTGTCTTTTCATGTTCGATGAAAAGTTTTGATATTAGTCCAAAGTTAAAGGAGAGTCTGATACACACTTCTTCTTCTTTTTCTTTAATCGTTTGTGATACAGCTTTGGACATCAGTGTCCACCTATTATCAGAACATCATTCAAATTATTTGAATACCTAAGGGTTTTTCTTCTGTACTTCACATTATGTCATCCAAACATCCATTTTGAACTGATGTATTTCCAATGAAGTAGAAATAATGTTTGGAATGGGCTTTGCGTAATTCAATTGATTCCAGAATGAAATCTATTGGATCTCCCATATTTCTCACTCTAACCCTGAGTGAGAGAGCGCTAGTAAGGGCATGAAAATCTCACGGATCTCTTCTGTTCTCTCACTTTTATATTGGCCGCAAATATATTTATTGAGTAGATAGGCAAAGGGCTATTCCAATCTTCTTATTACTACTTCATTGTGCATTCCTCTTCTGGTTCTGATTAAATCATTGGTGCTTTGATCAAGTTATTGTTATTATTATAATTATTAGCATTACTTTTTCCATACATCTTCAAATTTAAACAATTTGCAAAATATATGAAACAATGTTTATTTAGGATAAAAAAGAATTTTGTTCAAGCAAAACTGGACTGGAATTAATGATTCAAAATCTTATCTCCAGTTTGAAATAGGTACATTAAATATTATTTTATAATTATTATAATCCGACTCAAATAAATAATAAACAAAAAAGATTTCGCGATCAAACGGATGATTCACTAATGCGTTTAAAACGATTATTCCGAGAAAATCTAGGATGCTTGTTTTGCATAAACCGCTTCGATTATAACAATTTAGTAGTAGTTTTAAAAGGAACGTTGTCGTGCGCATTTTGGTATATTTACGACAATATTAATATTTCTATTGTTCGTCCTCGAGTGCTTTAATCATTCCAAAATGGATTTAATTTTCGGGTAAATTTTGCTTAAATCAAAAGTTAATTATAGAAATTTATTTATTTTGTAGCAACTCGCCCAAATGGCCCAGAACGGTGCCATTTTGACTGGGCAGCTGCAGCAAACTTCGACCACTCAAGCGGTGGTTCCCCAGGTTGTAACGCAACAGGCGCAACAGGTGCAACAGCTTCAACAGATAAATGTAGCTGCGACACAACAACAACAACAACAACAACAGCAACATCAGCAGCAACAGCAACAACAACAACAACAAGCTCAGCAACAACAACAACAACAACAGCAACAACAGGTAACTATTTCTTGTTGTACTAGATTGTGATAGTGATGATCAAATGTAAAATTCGCTAATTAAATAACTCACTGATCTCTTTCTGTGGGTTTTCACAAAGCAATTCATTCTGCGAGCCAATTATTTGTAGCCAATATTCCATGAAACAAACATAAATACGATTACTGCTCTGTTTGCTAAATAAATTTAAAATAAGTACCTACTCACCGGGGGGTTTTACCGCCCCTTGCTCTAGAACATCAATTCCAAATACACAGAGAAAAACCATCAAAATCATCATCCAATATGGAAAATAATATAATATAGTTAAATTTGGATATCACATGTTTCTTCTAACTTCGACGACTAGCTAATGTCACCTAAAATAAGTAGAGGCTTCCCCGAACGCCCAACTGTCGCTAAACAGTTACAGAGTAAAAGTGTAACGATAGTTCTGAGACACAACCCAAATTGTGTTAATCAAGCCACATGCGAGCTAGGACCCCAAGCGCAAGCCAGAACTTGAAGAACAGCGCCAATTCCTTACAACAATCATGGATAGGGCCACAACATTACCTTCAGTAATGAGGGGAATTGTAGGCAGGTTGCATAATTCAACCAAATCAACAACATAAAATGTGCACAATATCAAATCAATACTACATTATTATAGTATACAACTTTATTATCTCTCATACCTCAATTTATCTTCAATATCCCAAACGTCTAGTCCTAGTCACAGGGACACATAGAACCTTTCAGCACACTTTCTCAACAAACTCTGTTCCCCTGTCTTTTTTGCCAGGTCAGGTAGGTACCTTTCTTTCCCTCCATTTTATAATAGGCAAGTTATCATACAGAGTGTCTCTCTTTCTTATTATGGATTGGGTAAAATAAATATTCATGGAATTAGGCACAACAAAGGATAATAATATATTGAATAATTACAAGCTAATTGGATATGGATTTTTGTTATAACCATCGGACCAATATATTTTGGGGATATTTTATAGCTTTTAAAAATCTAACTCGGCAGTAAGCATGCTATTATTTTTACTCCTTGGTGTATAACCCATAAGAAGCTGATTGGGTGATTTTCCGGTTATCTGCTGGATGGTGTTGTTTATTGAAGATTCTATTTTATCAATGTATTCGTCCCATTTATCTTCCGAATCTGTAATAACTGTAAGTGCCGACAACACTGTCCGATTTAAGTCGTTCAACTTGCCCGTTTGCCCTTGGAGTAGCCACAGCGTTTAGGACTAATATTGTATTTGTCGCAGAAATTGAATGCTTTTTCCAAAAAGTGAATCACTGGTCTACTTTTCGTGGATTTTGCAGCTTTCAAAATCACGTATTTTGTGAATGTTTTAATGGTGACAATAAGATGCACATTACCTCTCTTAATCTTCTGGAAAGGTCCTAGGTGATCCATGTGAATCGTGTGAAAGGGGACAGGCTCTTGTGCTATGGGATGCAGAAACTCTTCACGACGTCCAGACGGGATTTTTGTATATAGACATGGAACACAACTAGCAATATGTTTTTCAACATACTCTTTCATGCGCGGAAACCAATATTTTTCGCAAAGCTTCTTCAGAATCTTTTCAGCTGCGAAATGTCCTGCCTTGTCATGTGACCAACGCACAACTTGCCTTCTGAATCCATGAGGCATAACCCACTGTATCCCAATAGAAGTAATGCGATTGACGCGTCCATTTCTTAGAGCATAGTTTTTATAAATGTCCCTGTCATGGTCAGTTTCTGGAGGTTTACTTAAAATGTTAAAATGGATCAATCGTATTTTTTCATCCGAAAGCTGGACCGATAAAACCCATTCTGCTTCTTCGATCCTTAAGACGAAGTTTCCTTCAGGCGGTTCTCCAGATTGGAAATCGATCTTTTATAGTTTTTAGATCAAGTTTTCGGTAGTCAATACACATCCGATCCTTTCCATCTTTCTTCTTCACAAAAAGCAATGGGGAAGCGTATGAAGAACTTGATTCGCGTATTATTCCAGCTCCTAGGAGTTCAGATACAATGGATCTGTATGTAAAGGGTTTATCTTCCAGAAGTTTGATTTCTATTTGAGCTGAAGTCGCTTCACCAAGTTTTTCAGTTACAGTTCCGAAAAGGTCTTTATATTCCTAAAGAAGGGACGCTATAACTTTTTCCTTAGAGATGAGTTAGTAGTACCAATGTTTATATCTTCCTCGTTAATTAATGGTAGATTGTCCAGATCCACACGAAAAACTTGTTCAGACGAATTACTACTGTCTACTTCAAAAGCAATAAATAGCTGTTACTAGTGGGTATTTATCACTCAATCTGAGATCTCTTCCAAACAAATTAATTATTGGGATAACGGCTGTTTCTTTTTCGGATAAATGGATAAGTATTCTAAGGATTGCATATTCCTCTCCTGGTTTACATCTGAAACTGGCTTCAATGTATAAATCTCCTTGAAATAGCGTTTTAATAGTGACAGTCAGATTCCCAACATGGTTAGAAAGAATTAAAGTTCGTTCTGGTAGCCATAGTGCTATTTTATTGGGAGTCTCAAGTTATGACTCCGGTGAATTTCAAACTATTACTGTCCTTCAGTACCATTAATCCAGGCGGTTCGGTAAATGATTGACCATTCAATATGGGAACTTCTTGGAGACAGTCTGGAACAACCAAACATTCCACAATTCTTTGGACAATTCAATCAATTTTTACGTTTTACAGTAATTTTTCCTAGAACTTGAATTTTGTTTGCGCCGGAACGCCCGTAACTCTTAAGGCTGATGTCACATTTAGAAATCGGCGCGTTGAGATGTTGTGCTTCGGAATGGCGTATAATGCTGCAACTGGAACCAAAGTCAATAAATGCGCGATAGATTTTGTCATTAGTGCTAATCTTCTTAAAATACTTTTCGTTTTTGGAGGTTTCTAGTGATAAAACGTGTCCCTTAGAAGCAGTTTGGTTTTTATGTTGTCCTTGATTATTAGGCGCTCTGCAATCAGAAACACGGTGTCCAAATTTCTGGCACTTGTAACATTGTGGTTCCTTGCATTGTTTGGCAAAGTGGCCAGTTTTTTGGCATCTGCGGCATTTCAACTCGTCAAATCTCTGACACCATTTTCTAATATTTTGATCTTTGTATTCTGGATCAAAACTAGGAACCATGTTGTCCCTCGACATTACAGTCTTCGGAACCGAACGGTCCAACGTGTCACGGTTTTCTATAATCTTCAGTAAATCTTTGACAATCCCTGTCAAACCAGAAATTTCACCAGAGCTCGTAGATGCTACCAGTTAGTTATTGACCGATCAGGTTCACTGTTAAAAACAGATGAAATAGAAACTTCTTCGCTTCGTCGTCAGATGAAGAGGAGAGATGGCGACGAATGCGCCTCTTTTTCGCAACACTTCGTTCTCCAAACTCCGACATTTTTTACGTAAACCTTATAAATAAAATAAATAAATAAATAAATATGGCCCTAAATGCATGGCACATATAAATATATATGTGCATGTATACATGCACCGAATAAAAATGGGGAAATTTAGTTAGTGTGAAGTTATCCATAAAATCTCAGCCATAAATTTATCGAATCGCGGTTAGGCCTACTTTTAACTATACCGGCCGGATTCTCATAAATTCTGGGGGCTGTTTGTGCTATATTGGAAATAACTATGGAAATCAGCTACTATTCCTAGCAATAAACAAAACTTAGTTTTTTGTAATGCCCCGCCATCTGAGTGTAGAGACTGATGAGGGCAGGGTGCCCAATTTTGTCGCAACCTTGAAGAATAGGTACCTTCTCGGTATTGCGCTGCTTGGCGGTGCTGCTACGGGATATCAGCGATGATATCCTTGAATGGAAACACTTGGACCAATGTTACGTCTAGTGTTTATTAATTGAATAGACCCAGCTCTGAGTGATTGATCTATGTAGGTATTTTTATACAATTAAAAAATCGTGACTAACTTTTTTAAAACTTGAATGACAACTCTATCAACAACGGGTTGTTATGCATTATTTTTCCGATTGTTTCTTATTCTGCCTACTCAATTTGATAAAGGCTGTTTATTATTTAAAAAAATGCAAACATACCGCCGCCCTTGAAAGTATCCAACTGAATGCTTTCAATATCATTAACATTAAAGATAGGTATACAATAAAACGGGAAAAGTTAATTATAAAATTTGCAGATACTGGGTAAATTGAGTTGTATATAAAAATATAAATGGTAAAAAGATAATTAAAAAACAAGAAAATCAATAATTTAAATCGTCCTTCGGAAGTAAACATATTTTCACAATGGCTCGTTTAGTGACGCCGTTTTTTGTTAGAACACTAACTACTCTCACCACACCGTCACTACCTGGATGAAGGTCCACTATACGCCCTCGATGCCATTGCAATGAAGGCAGACCATCTTCTTTTAGGAGCACTAGAGAACCTAGCAGGTCATTTTGATGTTGATGAAACTTCCATTTGTTCCGCTGGTGCAATGTGTGTAGATAGTCTGTTGACCACCGTGTCCAGAAACTTTGCGTCATTTTTTGAACATGCGCATATCTGGATAAGCGATTCATGGGTACTTGAGAAATGTCTAATTCGGGTACAGCATTTATCGGACGGCCAATTAAAAAATGACCCGGAGTGAGTACTTCTAAATCATTGGGATCATCAGTCAGTGGGGTTAATGGTCGAGAATTTAAAACCGATTCCACCTGAACCAGGAGTGTATAAAATTCTTCGAAGGTGAGCGGAACGTCATTGAGGATTCGCTTTAGATGCTGCTTGGTAGACCTTACAGCCGATTCCCATATTCCTCCAAAATGGGGTGATCGCGCAGGTATAAAATGCCATTGAATTGTATTCTGAATAAGAAAGTCCTGAAACTTGCTATCTTTAAGAACAGCATAAATTGCAGCAAACTCATTTTTTGCTCCTATAAAATTCGAGCCATTATCAGAATGGAGATTTTGACATAAACCACGTCGAGCGGTAAATCGCTTTAAAGC